TATATATTCATTCACCCAAACCAGTTGGTGTATCCATATACCCAACACTGTTCATATCTAATTGTCTGTGTGCCATTGCCTTATACCTTTACATTTTAATTATCATCAGATATATTACTTGATGTTATCAGTTATACCTTCATTGTATTGAATTACAAGGAATCTTTCAGCATGTAAGTGAAACTTTGGAACTTTCAAAAGCTTCTTATAATCAAGACTGCAGGCATTGGGCAACTCTGTTCACTGCATACCAAGACTCAATTAGAAATAGCTTACTTTGTCATATAATGGTTTTCTCCGGAAAACTTGGTATATTATTTGATATACCGTATTATTAACAGTTGTATAGTTTGCTGTATAAATCTGTCCCATTGTTGGGCATGAAGAACCAGATCCACACACAGAGTTCAATTAGCTACTTCATTGTTGATGCCTTTTTCATGGGAATCTTCCCAGATGGGCAGTTTGCTCCTGGGCCAGACTTGATAAGGTTGAACGTCATTCAGGGGTGGGGAAGTGCTTACCTAACAATTCTAGACTAATTCCAACTTGACTTGTCCCCCCAATTTGGCCATCTCTTTCTGAGAGTCACCTGTATATCTCAAAATAAATTAAATGCTGCAAATGCCTTCTCAAATGCTTTTGGATGTGAAGTAAAACCTATATTGGAAACATGTATATGTACAGAGATTTCAACATAAATATTTTTGCTATTTGTATGCAATTACAAAATTGCACATAGGACGTAACTGAAAGTCTCTTGAGTCATAATCTAAACAGCAGAGGGTTGGTTTTTTAAAAAATGGACCATAACTCTAAATATAATTTCTATAATTCTGTTGTGCCTTTGTACCTGTTTATTTTCCACATTAAAATTCTTCACACTTCTGCTAAAATTCCAAGCAAATGCAAATATCAATTCTTTTTTCCAGGATCTACACAGTCCCAGCACTTAAATAATCAAAAGACTGGAAGCACCTGAAGCCTCAGCTAAAAGCACAATGAATGCACAAAGCACATGATTCCTGCAGCTCAGCTTCAAGCAAGACTGTCCAAATGTGAAGATACTAGTATTGCTTCTTCCGTCAAACATCTCACTTTCTACTACAGCCTCTTTGGGAGGGGGGGTGAGGAAGGTGGTTTCCTATTACCTGAACCTTTGCAGCTGGCCTTTTAGGAAAGAAAGGATTATGGTGGTGAAGTTTAGGAGAGAGAAGGAGAGAGAAGGAAAGAGGGAGGCAAGGGAGAGACGGAGAAAGAGAGACATCTTTGCATACTGGAGGAACTTGCATATGTTATATTTCTTTTTTCTACATTCATACTACTGCAGAAATATTTTTATACGGTACTGGTGGTTTATTAAGCAACTGAAAAAAATATTTTTACCTGAAAGTTAGATTTACATATTTTACTATTTATTCTTATCCATAAACATACCTTAATACAAGGTGGTCAGGGAAAACATTAGGGAATTATTATAATGTTTAGCCTAGAGTCAAGGAATGCCTAATAGGGTTTCCCTTCCAATAATATTTCCCAAATAAAAAGCATCTGGGAAGCTAGTGCTCCAGATGAACAGATAATCTTGATTTAAGCATCTTGATTTAGCATTTCTTTTGTTTTGTTTATATCCTACATCATTTTTCTAATGACTCAAAATAGCAAATGCACCCAATACTGTTTCCTCTTCCTATTTTCCCCACATCAACCCTGTGAGATGAATTGGGCTAAGAAAGAGACTGGCCAAAAATCACCTAGATGGTTTTTATGCCTAAAACAGGACTAAAACTCATAGGCTCCTATTTACCAAATATACATGTCACAAGAAAAATAATACTTACCTGCTCCATTTCTTTTGACACAGTTGCAAATAAGAAACAAAAATACCAATTCCTGCATTTAAACTAATTACATGTCCCATTAAACTAATTACAGGTCCCATTTCACATTAGTTCTAAGAATGACTATTATATTAAACCAACCAACATCCCCAATCACAGATCCTCACTGACTTGAATATTACACATTTTATCTGAGGCCAGCTACAGCCTGCTTGAGAATCTAATTACAGTCTGAGACTAGCAACATTAAAATAAAGCTAAATAAAGATAGTACTATGCAAGTAAAACAGGAACATGATCAAATTTGCTAGATTTTTTTTTTAAAAAATAGAAAGATCCCACTATTATTTCTTAGCAAGCTTTACATTTTAGTTACACTGCATTAATGCTACAAGATCTATCTGGTAACCAACAGGAAACAAAAACTACCTGAAAATATTGATAAATGAATGAAACAAACATATATGTCCCCATAAAACATATAATACAACTAAAATATGGTTAGCTGATGCAACAGAATATCCTTTCCTTATATAGCATCTTATTAAACCACCCTCCACAAGCAAATAGTAGTAGACTAAAGCAGACTCTTAAGAAGGTTGCAGTATCTATTTATCAAATGGGTAACCAGCTTCAAATTAATATGCAAATTCCAAAAACTAAAGCCACCGGAATCAGATTTCTTATATCTACATTTCTATAACCAAAATTTGTTTTCTGGTTATTCCTACTGCTTTCCATTCCATCTACGAAAAGGAGCCATAACAAAATCCCAAATGACAGAATGTGTGTGATAAGGTCAGTTGGTTTTATCAAACCACCTGACTTTTGATTCAAACAAAAGCACATCATCACTGGCATGCAAATCAATTATTTAGACAGGGTAGTCCACAAAATATGATTTTAAAAAGACATGGAGGCTGCAATGTGTGATCAAAGTTCTATATCTTTTAACAGGTGTGTGATAAATTGATTAGAAGCAGGGTGCAAAAAGAAACTAAAATTACTCTAATTATGGAAATGAAAATATTTCACTTTTTCCTCTGTTCTGTACAGAACGAAACAAAAGAAGCATCCAAGATTAAGATTTGCAGTTCCTTCTGTATATAAAGCTAAAGTATTCATACTGCTCCAGAGACTTGT